TGTACGCCTGGCTTCAGATTGGCCCAGCTCTGGCCATTGCAACCACTTGAGGAGTGAACCAATGGATGGAAGACCTCTCTCTCTCTCTCTGCCTCTGTCCCTCTGTAATTCTGCCTTTCAAATAAATAAATAAATAGGAAGAGAAGAGGGAGGAGGAAGAGAAGTATTAGCAGTAGTGTTACCAGAGAATGGCAGGGTTCTTGTCTTCACGAAAGAAAGAATTCAGGGCAGGCGCCACGGCTCACTAGGCTAATCCTCCGCCTTGCAGCGCCGGCACACCGGGTTCTAGTCCCGGTCAGGGCACCGGATTCTGTCCCGGTTGCCCCTCTTCCAGGCCAGCTCTCTGCTGTGGCCAGGGAGTGCAGTGGAGGATGGCCCAAGTCCTTGGGCCCTGCACCCCATGGGAGACCAGGATAAGTACCTGTCTCCTGCCATCGGATCGGTGCGGTGCGCTGGTTGCAGCGCGCCGGCCGCGGCGGCCATTGGAGGGTGAACCAACGGCAAAGGAAGACCTTTCTCTCTGTCTCTCTCTCTCACTGTCCACTCCTGCCTGTCAAAAAAAAAAAAAAAAAAAGAATTCAGGCGTGAGACAGAGTAGTGGAAAGTAAAAAGTAGCAAAGTTTATTAGGGGAAAAGGACATCTGTAAGAACAGATGGGCACCTCTCCAGACAGAGCCTGAGACTGAGAGAGTGCCCAGTCGCTTGGACAGGGGGGAAGGAGCGAGGTTACATGGTTGAGTGGAGAGATTACACCTGGCCAGACCAGGCGGGCGGCTCAGCAGAGAGGCAGAGGGCCGAGCGCTCAGTCCAGTTGAGGCTGGGGGTTTTTAAGGAGATTGGTCTCTGTCTTCACACATTTCCTCCTGAAACAAAGGATTTTATGGATGGAAACATTAAGAAGCTCCTACCTGAGTTTTCCGTTGAAGGTATCAGACAGGAAGAAGCCTAGCTGGCGCCATCCTGGGTTTAGAGGAAAGGTGAGCAGGACCCCCTAGAGAATCGGGATCTGGAGCAGGGTGTTTGAAATGCAGATACTGGGCTGCATCTGGGAGATTGTGGAAGGTTTGTCAGGCAGAAGGGGCGGGGACCCCAACCTGGCAGGTTAACAGGTAGAAGGGGGCAGGGCAGGATGCGAATACCAGGCTGCCCCTGAAACATTTTATCAGGATGACTTTGAGATGCAGATTTATAAGCTGGACATAGATGTCTTCTCTTTAGGCCTGTTACATATACATAAGCTCATATCTGACTTCCTACCTAACAGTAGTAGTACTAATCTAGGGGCTTTCACTGTGGCATAGTAGGTAAAGCTGTCGCCTGCAGTGTTGACATCCCTTATGGGTGCCAGATCGAATCCTAGCTGCTCTACTTTTGATCTAGCACCCTGCTAATGCACCTGGAAAAGCATCAGAGGACAGCCTAAGTGCTTGGGGCCCCTGCACCCACCATGGGAGATCCAGAAGGAGCTCCTGGCTTTTGGCTTCGGGTTGGCCCAGCCCTGACCAGTGCAGCCATTTGGGGAGTGAACCAGCAGATGGAAGACCTCTCTCTTTCTCTCTAACTCTACCTTTCAAATAAATAAATAAATCTTTAAAAAAAGTAATCTAGAATATACTGGAGAATACATATTGGTTTGATGCCAATTCTATACTATTTTATATAAGGGACTTGAGCATCCATGGATTTTGGTATCCACAGAGGATCCTGAAACCAATCCTCAAATATTGACAGACAACTGGACCTGCCTCATCTGGCCCAGAAACAGTTTGCAGACTGACAACCATTTCAGAGCACCCTGGAGCAAATGCAGATGCCTTTCCAAGTCCTTTACAAGACAATGGCTCAGACTTCTCACTTGGCTCTTAGGTCATCCTAGGAATGGAACCATTTGGGGTTGGCATTATGGCACAGTGGGTTCAGCCACTACCTGGCATGCCTGCATCCCATATCTGAGTGCCTATTTGGGATGCTAGTGGGTGATAGCCCAAGTACTCGGGTCCCTGCCACCCACATGGGAGACCCAAATGGACTTCCTGGCTGTTGGTTTCAGCTTGGCCCAGCCCCAGCTGTTGTGGTCATCTGGAAAGTGAACAGTAGATGGAAGATCTCTCTCTCTCTTTCTCTCTCTCTCAGTTCTCTTTCTGGCTACCCTCCCCCACACCGTCACTCTGCCTTTCAAATATTTTGCAATAAGGGATCAGCCGGCTGTATAGCTAACATTACCATGGAACATCTTACTTGTTCCTAGTCAAATCTGATCCCTGTAACACATTTCAAGTGTAACCTCTTTAATTGAAAAAAAAAATTTGGGGGTGGGGGGCTGGCGCTATGGCACAGCAGGTTAAAGCCCTGGCCTGGAGCGCCAGCATCCCAAATGGGCACCGGTTGCAGTCCCAGCTGCTCCTCTCCTCTTCTGATCTAGCTCTCTGATAGGGCCTGGAAAAGCAGTAGAAGATGGCCCAAGTCCTTGGACCCCTGCAACCACGTATGAGACCCAGAAGAAGCTCCTGGCTCCTGGCTTTGGATCAGCCCAGCTCTGGCCATTGCGGCCATTTGGGCAGTGAACTAGTGGTTGGAAGACCTTTCTCTCTGTCTCTACCTCTCTCTCCTCTCTCTGTAACTCTTTTTTTTTTTTTTTGACAGGCAGAGTGGACAGTGAGAGAGAGAGACAGAGAGAAAGGTCTTCCTTTACCGTTGGTTCACCCTCCAATGACCGCTGCGGCTGGCGCACCACGCTGATCCGAAGCCAGGAGCCAGGTGCTTCTCCTGGTCTCCCATGCGGGTGCAGGGCCCAAGCACTTGGGCCATCCTCCACTGCACTCCCAGGCCACAGCAGAGAGCTGGCCTGGAAGAGGGGCAACCGGGACAGAACCCGGCACCCCGACCAGGACTAGAACCCGGTGTGCCGGCGCCGCAAGGCGGAGGATTAGTCTATTGAGCCGCGGCACCAGCCGTAACTCTGTCTTTAAAATAAATAAAATAAAATACTAAAAAAAAAAAGAAAAGAAAAGAAATTTTGAGTATCAGCTGTGTAGATTCTAGAAGATTCCACCCTGAAGACGGCATCACCTCTGCTCTCACCTGGATTAATGCAATTCACACGCAGATCATGAAGCCATCTACATCACAGGACTCTGGCATTTGAGTACATTCTTTCTCTGCTTTCCAGTGTTTCACAGATTTATATCCAATCTCTCAGAAAAAAAAAAAAAACACCATAAATTTGCTGAACAAAAGTCCTCCCTTTCATGGCCTCCACTGTCTCCAGGCCAGCTTCAGGCAGTTAGCAGCTTCTCGGCAGAAAGCTGAATACAGCATTCACTGAGCCAAGACCTTGAATTCCCCATCAAGTGCCGAACAGGGCTTCCCTCCCAAGTCCTGCTAACCTAGTGAGCACCTCTCCTCATCCTCACTCTCACTCCTTACCCATCCTCCAAGGCCCAAAGCTGAAGCAACTCTAAGAAGTCCACTTCTGGCACAGGCATTTGGCTCAACAGTTAAGACTGCACTTAAGACGTGTGCATCCCCTATAGGAGTCTATAGGTTTGAGTGCTGGTCTGTTTCTGATTTCAGCTTCCTGCTAATGCACACCCTGGGAGGCAGCTCCAGGAGCCAAGTCCCTGGCCCCTATGTGGGAGACTGGATTGAGTCCTGGGCTCCCAGCTTCAGCCTGTCCCAGCCCTGGCTGTTGCAGGCAGATAGGGAGTGAACCGTTGGATGGACTATCTTTCCCTGTCTCTCTCTGCCTTCAAATAAAAAGAAAAAAAAATCTTTGCTTCTCTGCCCCCCACCAGGCAATCTGAAATCTCTTATCACACAAGTCCCAGGGGAGAGAAGAGAAAACCAGGTGGGGGAGGAAGACACCTTTTACAGCAAGTCTTACTCTAGCTCACCCAACTGCCAGCCGGGCGTCCCATTTTTCCCCCAGGGAAAGGAGTCCGGGTTTGTGAATTTGCACTTGCAAGGTCTGGTCCTGGGGTAGGTGCTGTGTGTGCATAAAGGTGAATCAAACAGGTCCCAGCCCTCCAGACCCTGCGCCGGGAAAAGCAGACCAAGTTTAACTACTGTGCAGCACCAAGAGTGGAAAGGACCTGGTACTTCACGGTTGGTGCACAGAGAAGTCTTGTAAGTGAATGAACACATCGGGGAGAGATTACTTCCCACTGGCCAAAAATCCCAGGGATGGAGCTTTAGTGCTAACACCTTGCAGATGGGAAACACAAAGGAAGGATGAGCCGGTGCTCTAGCCGGCGAGGGGGTCGGCGTTCACAGGAGCTCTTTGGGGCTCACACGCGGTCTGTTGGGGAGGTGCTGTTATTGTCTCACTTTACACTGGGGAGATGGGGGCACAATGAGCCAGCGACTTGTCCAAGGTCTAGCCCAGGAAGCGGCGGCGGGGGATCTGGACGCACACGAGTACCGGTACAGCTGGTGTTATGCCCTCACTGCAGGTGCACTGTGCAACACGCAGGCAAGCCCAGGGGCTAGTGAGGGTCTGTGACGCTGGGACCCCTAGGGCAGCTGCAGGGCGTATATATCAGATTCTGGGTCTTAACAACTGTTCATCCAATCTCACCACACCTCACCTGTTCCACAGGTGTGTAAGTAACTCATACAAGATCACCCAACCGGCAGGCGGTGGAGCTAAGATCTCAGTCCAGGGGGTCGGACTTCAGAGCCTCCCCCAGTGTCCCCAGTTACCTTCCAAGACAATGCATCCTGTCCCTTCCCACCCACCTAACCTCCGTGCGGTTCTACCTCCAGCCTTTTCACCTGGAGCTCTGAGCTAGGCTGGCCCAGTTCACGTCACGGGAATGCCGGGGACCACCCGGTGTCCAGTGCAATTCTGCTCCCAGAAAACTTTGCGCCCCCTCCCCATATAAAGAGCCTCCGAGCTCCGGGAGACCCGCCCTTCGCTCCCCTCCCACGGGCGTGTTCCGGGCGGCGGCGCCCGCGGCCCAGGGCGGAGCCTGGCTGCGGCGCGCAGGTGGCTCCTCCTCCGCCTCTCCCCAGCCCGGGCCGCGCCAGGCAAGGTGCCGGTTGCCGAGGGAGTGCCTTTGTGCCCGGCTCAGGAAACCCGCGACGACCGCTGTGTCCTCGGCTCCGTTGTTTCGGCCCTCGGTGCGCTCGCTGCAGGTGCGGGCGTGCGCGGCGGCGGGAGCGCTGAGGGCCCCGGCGCAGGCGGGAGATGAAGCTCCTGAAGCCGTGGGGAAAGGCTGGCGGCGGCCTCCTGCACCTCACGGTGCTGTTGAGCTTGGCGGGGCTCCGCCTGGACCTGGACCTGGGTCTGGACCTGGATTTGCTCCTGCCGCCGCCCGCCGCGCTCCGGGATGAGCTGCTACTGCTGCTGCTGCTGGGCGGCTCCGGCCGCTCAGCCTACGCACTCAGCCCCTTCCCCGCCTGGGGTAGCTGGGGGCGCGCCCGGCAGCTGCACCCCAAGAGCCGGGAGCACGACCCTGCGGTGCCACCCGAGGGCCACCTGCTCCGGGAGGTGCGCGCGCTCGGGGCGCCCTTCATCCGCCGCACCCGGGTGGATGCCTGGCTGGTGCACAGCGTGGCGGACGGGGACGCGGACGGGGCCCCGGGGCTGTTCGGCGCCGCCTCGGCGGGAGGGGTCGGCGCCAGTGTGGACGGCGACAGCCATGCCGCGCCCGGGGGTGGCGGGGACCTGCGACTGGCCCGGAGTAGCCCAGTGGCGGCCGGGGAGGAGGAGAAGGCGCCCGCGGAACCGACGGCCCAGGTGCCGGACGCTGGTGGAGGCGCGAGCCAGGTAACCCGAGAACCGGACGCGGGCGCGGTGCGGCGTCTACGCCGCGGTGGGCCAGGGAGGGGGGCGGCCTGGTCGGGAGCCCTGGAGGGTGACGGCAGACCTAGGCAGCGTCACACCCGCACGCTCCTTGGGCCCTAAGTCTCTGGGCGGTTGTAGGTTCGCCGCGTGTTTGTAGATCCGAAGTAAAGCTTGTTAGTGGGGTCACTGTGGATTTTAGGTTTTAGCGGGGAGAGAAGGCACCTTTGCTTGTGTATGATGGTTGTAGAGTGTGCGGGAAAAGGGATCATATTCGTCTTCTTGCCCACTGACTTTGGCCAGGGTCTCGTGGACGCTGAGGTGTCCTTCCGTGGGCCCCGTGCCCGGCCCGAGGTAGCCTGGGCGGCTGAAGACCCATGCTCGGCCTGGTTTTAACCCAGTTGCAGTTCGTTTTCACTGCTTGCCCTGCCATAAGGAGCGGTGATCAGCGGCCCCTTGGCTGCCAGCTGGAAGCCGGTCTGTGAACCTCCCCCCACCCATCCCGCAATCTTCCCTCCCTGGACCTGGTGTGAACCCTTCATTAGCATAAAGGAAACAGGTGTGTGACCCTCCATCGGTGAATACGTTCCCTCTGGTTTTGGGTGCAGAGCTTTCTGCACTGTGATTTCTTTTGGAAAGGAAGCGCCCAGAGATCAGTGATTTAAGTGCCTTGCGCTCCCCTGGCCGCTTCGAGTTCAAGGATACTTCTAGCTCCTCAAAAACCCAGCTTATCCAAGGCTCCTTGCCAGGGACCTTTGAAATGAATCCCGGCCCACACCTTGGTGTTGACACCTGGTGTCGATCCCCGAGTGCTCCGTGGGTGCTGTTTTGTGAAGTGCCGTCCTCTGCACAACAGCCGCTGGGGCCAAGCTGGTTGGTTTGCTGCTCTGGGTGTGTAGGCAGTTGCCAGACGAGCTGCTCCGCCCTCCGCCGGAGGGGTCATTGTGTCACAGTGCTCCGTGATTCACTGTGATGCCCATCTGATGCCTTCCTCTTCTTGGGGATCGCCACTCCTGGGGTGGGCTGCGTGAGATGTTTGGTGGGCTCCTGTTATTTAGAACGAGCCGTGGAAGGCTCTTGTCCACAGCTGAGTCGTCTTATCCGGACCTGTGGGTCCTCCACCCGCTGCTGAGTGGCACCTGCCACTCTGCTCCCTTTCCTGAGCCTGTGACCTGTGGATTCCGACCCAAAGCCCCCTCTCACAGATGAATGCCAGTCCCCCTGCGAAGTGTGCAGGGTTCTGGAGGGAGCCTGGCTGTTTGCTTTTCAAAGGCCTCTCTCCCCGCCTCAGCTGGGTGATACTTGGGTATCAGGTCATCCTTGGAGGCAGTTCAAGAGGGCCTTGGCCCAGCTCCCCTAAAGGAGAGGGTGAAGTTCATTCGGGGCCAGTCCCCTGGCAGTGCCCTCGCCGGCTGGGCTGGCAGGTGCACAGGTCACACACTTCCATGTCCGGTTTATGTTTTGAAGAACACAGAAGCACAGACAGGTCAAGGGGCCTGGTGAAAGCCACACATTGATTAAGGGCAGAAATAGGACTAGAACCCGAGTCGACTCCCAGGTGGCATGTTAATGAAACTCCTGCTCTGTGCCCAGGCTCTCTGGACAGGCTTGCATGTGGGCTGGGGTGACTCAGCCATCTCCTAGTCCCCAGGACGACTGCTCTGTGATGCTGGCTTGACTTTTAAAAGCAAGCAGAGGTTACAATTTGGAGCTCTGCCTTTGGGAGAAAATGGGTCAGGCAAGCAGCAGTGGTGTCTGCAATCAGCTGGACTTGAATCTGGGAACTTCGCTTCCACCTGTGTTGTGCCCGCCCACAGGTTTCTTAAATCCCTTGCAAGCCTTCCTGCCACCCAAACTGTGGGAGAGCAGCGTTTGCCCCAGAGGGTCTCCTGCTGATTCCATGGGGAAAGCCTTTGTGCAGGGCTGGCAGGGGCCTGGAGGGGGCGCTCTCCTTTGCCCTCCTCCCTCAGCCTACCCTCGGGCACCTGTCCCCACTCTGCTTCTGTGGGCTTGCTTACGTGGCTGGCCGGCTTGGTTGGTTGTTGAGTGTGGGATGTGTGGGAGCCAGACTGCCTGGTTTTGAGTCCTAGCTCTGCCGGCTGCAGCTCTGTGACCTTGCACAGCTTTCTTCGCCTTTCTGTGTTTTACTCTGCTGACCTGCACAATGGGACTCAGGTTCCCGTTGTGCAGGTCAGCAGAGTAAAACATAGAAAAGAAACAGTAAATAGTAAAACATAGAAAAGATATGGAAATATCTCATAGGGTTCATGTGGAGATTAAAAAGTTGCTTCCTGGGGCCAGCGCTGTGGCATAGCGGGTAAAGCCATTGCCTGCCTTGCCGGCATCCCATGTGGGCAATGGTTCGAGTCCTTGCTGCTCCACTTCTGATCCAGCTCCCTGCTAATTCCCCTGGAAAAGCAGCAGAGTGCTTGGGTCCCTGGCACCCATGTGGGAGACCCAGAAGGAGCTCCTGGCTTCTGGATTGGCCTAGCTGTGGCCGTTACAGCCATCTGGGGAGTGAACCAGGGGATGGAAGATCCTTCTCTATCTGCCTCTCCCTCCTCCTTTTTCTCTAACTCTGCCTTTCAAATGATTTAAGTTACTTCCATATAAAGGGCCTAGAACTGTGTGTATGAAGTCTCAATGTTGACTTCAAAGAGGGAGCATAATGTCCTGTAGGAAAATCGTCATTGTTGATTTTTTTTTTTTTTGTCTTTTAAAGATTTAGTATTTATTTGAAAGGCAGTCTGACAGGGGAGAGAGAGAGAGAGACAGTGACAGAAAGAGAGCTTTCATTTGCTGGTTCACAAAATCCAGGAGCCAGGAATTCCATCCCGGTCTCCCACAAGGATGGCAGGGGCCCAAGGACTTGGGCCATCTTCTGCTGCTTTCCCAGGCACATTGCAGGGAGCTGGATCAGAAGTGGAGGAGCCAGGACTCCAACCGATGCCCTTATGGGATGCCGGCGTCACAGGTGGACGTGTAACCTGCTGTGTGACAGCAACCACCCCTGTTGCTGGCTTTTAATAGATCATTCCTGTGGCTTGCGTTTGTGTCATGGGATATTCTCATTTTACGGTGTACTTTTCCATGCCTTTTATACATGTGCAGAAATACTTTGGAGTAGGGGATTTTGCAGGTGGCTGAAGAAGTGCCGCTGTGGTTTCGCTTCTGAGTGGGACTAACCCCTGTCTGAATGGACTCGGGTTCCCCAGGTGACTGCCTCAGCAGACCACAGCCATTCAGCGTGTTCCCCAAAGTCACACGCGGTCACACCAAGAAGCCAGTATGTGAACGCACCTCGGTGGCTGCCTACTGCCAGCCTCAGGATTTCAGAGCTCTGGTGTTGCACTTTGAAATCCACAGGACCTGTGGGCGTCTGATGTGGTTCATGCTCTGCGACCGTGGCCTCTGCTGGCTGAGGGAGCCTGTTCCTCCTGATTTAGTGCCCACTGGGCTGGTTTTGTCAGGTCCCAGAACAAAACCCAGTGCCGTTAATGTGGAATTCTGAATGTAAAGGGAAGAGGAAAGAGGTCCTTGTTGACTTGTTAAAGGAATTTTTTTTAAATCAAAGTCCCTTAATGCCTGGGCAATTGGACAGAGATGAAATTTCAGACACCTGCCTGTTTTTAATTCACAGCTATAGTCTTGTAATTACACTTATCACATGATGACCCAAGCTGCCAGCAGGCTTTCTTTTTTTTTTTAAGATTTTATTTATTTATTTATTTTAAAGTCAGAGTTACATAGGAGAGGCAGAGAAAGAGAGTCTTCCATCCTCTGGTTCACTCCCCAATTGGCCACAATGGCCGGAGCTGTGCCAATCCGAAGCCAGGAGCTTCCTCCAGGTCTCCCACAAGGGTGCAGGGGCCCAAGGAGGACTTGGGCCATCTTCTACTGCTTTCCCAGGCCATAGCAGAGAGCTGGATAGGGAGTGGAGCAGCCGGGTCTCGAACCGGTGTCCATACGGGATGCTGGCACGGCAAGTGGCAGCTTTACCCGCTATGCCACCCCTGGTTGTTTGCTTCTGAGGACTGCGGGAGAGTCTGTCCCACCACTCTGGCCTGCCTTTTGCTTTGCTGGCCGTCTTCCGTCTTCCTTGGCCTCTGCTGTGTTGCCCCCATCTCTGCTGGATCTTCCCATGTCCTTGCCCCTGCCCGTTTCCCCTTCTCACATCAGCCAAGTCCTATATGGGTGCGTGGGCTTCCACCTTAACCCACATCTGCAATGACCATTTCCTAATAAGATTACACTCTGCGTTCCTGGGGGCTAGGACTTCGGATGTGAATTGGAGGGTGGGCAGGCGGGCCCACATTAAATCTGCAATAGTCTCAGTCTTCCTGTCAGTTCTTGGGGGTGCTGAGCAAGTGGGTTCCAGCCATTGAAAGTGGTCAGCTGTTTCGGGAAGTGGCTGGCCTGCGAGTTTGATCATGTAGCCAGGGCTTGGGGTACACTCACGAGAATATCTGGGGTTTTGCTGACTTGCTGTGCAACCCTGGGGAACCTTAGTTCAACCCATCTTTTTCCAGTTAGTGCTTCACTTTGATTGGCAGCTGGCAGGGAAATTATCTTTGCAATATTTCCTTCCTCCTGCTCCCTGCCCCCATCCTGATTTCTTCTCTTTCATTCTCCCTGCTTTTCTTTTCGTTTTTTTTTTTTTTTAATTATTTATTAATTAAAGGCAGACAGTGTCAGAGAAAGGTAGTGTCAGAGAGAGCGAGCTTCTACCTGCTGGTTCACTCTCCAGATGGCTGCAACAGCCCAGGGCTGGGCCACGCTGAAGCAGAAGCTCCATCAGGGTCTCTCACACGGGTGGTAGGGATCAAAGCACCTGGGCCATCCTCTGCTGCCTCCCCAGGCATATCAGCAGGGGGCTAGATTGGAAGTGGAGCAGCCAGGACTCCAACCGGACGCTGAGGGATCACTCTGCTGCGTCATGGTGCCTGCCTGCTTCTGAGCTCAGGCAGTGGGCTCCTGAGACCCAG